TCCTAATGCATTCCATTTACTAACTACTCTGACACTGAAAAAGTTCTTTCTAACGTCTCTGTGGCTCATTTGGGTACTCAGCTTCCACCTGTGTCCCCTTGTTCGCGTCCCACAAGTGTTGAATAGTTCATCCTTGTTTACCCGGTCGATTCCCCTGAGGATTTTGTAGGTTGTGATCATGTCCCCCCTAACTCTTCTGTCTTCCAGTGTCGTGAGGTGCATTTCCCGCAGCCTTTCCTCATAACTCATGCCTCTTAGTTCTGGGACTAGTCTAGTAGCATACCTTTGGACTTTTTCCAGCTTCGTCTTGTGCTTGACAAGGTACGGGTTCCATGCTGGGGCCGCATACTCCAGGATTGGTCTTACATATGTGGTGTACAAGATTCTGAATGATTCATTACACAGGTTCCTGAACGCCGTTCTGATGTTAGCCAGCCTCGCATATGCCGCAGACGTTATTCTCTTTATGTGGGCTTCAGGAGACAGGTTTGGTGTGATATCAACTCCTAGATCTTTCTCTCTGTCTGTTTCATTAAGTACTTCATCTCCTATTCTGTATCCTGTGCCTGGCCTCCTGTTTCCACTGCCTAGTTTCATTACTTTGCATTTACTCGGGTTGAACTTCAACAGCCATTTGTTGGACCATTCACTCAGTCTATCCAGGTCATCTTGTAGCCTCCTACTATCATCCTCTGTTTCAATCCTCCTCATAATTTTTGCATCGTCGGCAAACATTGAGAGGAACGAATCTATACCCTCTGGGAGATCATTTACATATACCAGAAACAGTATAGGTCCAAGGACTGACCCCTGCGGGACTCCACTTGTGACGTCTCGCCAATCTGAGGCCTCACCCCTCACACAGACTCGTTGTCTCCTGTTGCTTAGGTATTCCTCTATCCACCGGAGTACCTTCCCTCTCACTCCAGCCTGCATCTCCAACTTTCGCACTAGCCTCTTGTGTGGTACTGTATCAAAGGCTTTCTGACAATCCAAAAATATGCAGTCTGCCCACCCTTCTCTTTCTTGCCTTATTTTTGTTGCCTGGTCGTAGAATTCAAGTAACCCTGTGAGGCAGGACCTGCCATCCCTGAACCCATGTTGATGCTGTGTTACAAAGTTCCTTCGCTCCAGATGCTCCACTAGTTTTTTTCGCACAATCTTCTCCATCAGCTTGCATGGTATGCAGGTTAGGGACACTGGCCTGTAGTTCAGTGCCTCCTGTCTATCCCCTTTCTTGTATATCGGGACTACGTTAGCTGCTTTCCAAATATCTGGCAGTTCCCCTGTTGCCAGTGATTTGTTATACACTATGGAGAGTGGTAGGCTCAGTTCTCTTGCTCCTTCCTTTAGAACCCAAGGGGAGATTCCATCTGGGCCTATAGCCTTCGTCACGTCCAACTGTGTGGGGGAGGCTGTGTGGGGGAGGCTGTGTGTGGGGGGGGCTACTGTGGGACTACTGTGTGTGGGGACTACTGTGTGTGGGACTACTGTGTGTGGGACTACTGTGTGGGGGACTACTGTGTGGGGGGACTAACTGTGTGTGGGGACTACTGTGTGTGGGGACTACTGTGTGTGGGGACTACTGTGTGTGGGGACTACTGTGTGTGGGGACTACTGTGTGTGGGGACTACTGTGTGTGGGGACTACTGTGTGTGGGACTACTGTGTGTGGGGACTACTGTGTGTGGGGACTACTGTGTGTGGGGACTACTGTGTGGGGGCTACTGTGTGGGGGACTACTGTGTGTGGGACTACTGTGTGAGAGGGGGCTACTGTGGGACTACTGTGTGGGGGGGAGGCTACTGTGTGTGGGGGAGGCTACTGTGGGACTACTGTGTGGGGGGGCTACTGTGGGACTACTGTGTGTGGGGGGGGCTACTGTGGGACTACTGTGTGGGGAAGGCTAGTGTGTGTGGGGGAGGCTACTGTGGGACTACTGTGTGGGGGGCTACTGTGTGTGGGGGGGCTACTGTGGGACTAGTGTGTGTGGGGGGGCTACTGTGGGACTAGTGTGTGTGGGGGGCTACTGTGGGACTACTGTGTGTGGGGGAGGCTACTGTGTGTGGGGGAAGCTGTGTGTGGGGGGGGCTACTGTGGGACTACTGTGTGTGGGGGGGCTACTGTGGGACTAGTGTGTGTGTGGGGGAGACTACTGTGTGTGTGTTGGACGCCAGTTATGATGGCCGGCGCTAAGCTAAACTTAATAGGTATCAACAACGTTGTCAGCAGATTTGAATGTAGCTCTCCGCAGCCCTCAGACCTTCAGAGACAGCTTGGGCATCGGAGCGTCTACACGCGCTCCCTTACACACTCTAGCTAGCTCCTGGCCCGGTGTACAAGATATATATATTTTTATAATAAACTAAGGAAAAGCAGTGGACGTTTGGTACTCCAATTCCTGCCCACTACCGAGTAAACTCCAGACCATCCTAATCATTCTACAACATCAACCGATGTTACACTGGTGGCAGCGGTGGATGTTACATGGGGGGCTACTGTGGGGCTACTGTGTGAGTGGGGGAGGCTACTGTGTGGGTGGGGGAGGCTACTGTGGGACCACAGTGTAGGGAGAGGCTACCGTGTGGGGGGGCTACTGTGGGACTACTGTGTGTGGGGGAGGCTGTTGTGTGTGTGGGGGAGGGGGGCTACTGTGGGACCACTGTGTGTGGGGGAGGCTACTGTGTGTGGGGGAGGCTACTGTGTGTGTGGGGGAGGCTACTGTGTGTGGGGGAGGCTACTGTGTGTGGGGGGGAGGCTACTGTGTGTGTGGCGGAGGCTACTGTGTGTGTGGGGGAGGCTACTGTGTGTGTGGGGGAGGCTACTGTGGGTGTGGGGGAGGCTACTGTGTGTGTGGGGGAGGCTACTGTGTGTGTGGGGGAGGCTACTGTGTGTGGGGGGGAGGCTACTGTGTGTGGGGGGGAGGCTACTGTGTGTGGGGGGAGGCTACTGTGTGTGGGGGGGAGGCTACTGTGTGTGTGGGGGAGGCTACTGTGGGTGTGGGGGAGGCTACTGTGGGTGTGGGGGAGGCTACTGTGGGTGTGGGGAGGCTACTGTGGGTGTGGGGGAGGCTACTGTGGGTGTGGGGGAGGCTACTATGTGTGTGTGTGGGGTGGCTACTGTGTATGGGGGCTACTGTGGGACTACTGTGTGTGGGGGGGCTACTGTGTGTGTGGGGGAGGTTGTGTGTGTGGGGGAGGCTACTGTGTGTGGGAGGGAGGCTACTGTGTGTGGGGGGGAGGCTACTGTGTGTGGGGGGAGGCTACTGTGTGTGTGGGGAGGCTACTGTGTGTGTGGGGAGGCTACTGTGTGTGGGGGGAGGCTACTGTGTGTGTGGGGGAGGCTACTGTGTGTGTGGGGGGAGGCTACTGTGTGTGTGGGGGAGGCTACTGTGTGTGGGGGGCAGGCTACTGTGGGTGTGGGGCAGGCTACTGTGGGTGTGGGGCAGGCTACTGTGGGTGTGGGGGAGGCTACTGTGGGTGTGGGGGAGGCTACTGTGGGTGTGGGGGAGGCTACTGTGGGTGTGGGGGAGGCTACTGTGGGTGTGGGGGAGGCTACTGTGGGTGTGGGGGAGGCTACAGTGTGTGTGGGGAGGCTACTATGTGTGTGTGTGGGGAGGCTACTATGTGTGTGTGTGGGGAGGCTACTGTGTATGGGGGGCTACTGTGGGACTACTGTGTGTGGGGGGGCTACTGTGGGACTACTGTGTGTGGGGGAGGCTGTGTGTGGGGGGGCTACTGTGGGACTACTGTGTGTGTGGGGGAGGCTACAGTGTGTGTGGGGGAGGCTACTGTGTGGGGGGAGGCTACTGTGTATGGGGGGCTACTGTGGGACTACTGTGTGTGTGGGGGGGCTACTGTGTGTGTGGGGGAGGTTGTGTGTGTGGGGGAGGCTGCTGTGTGTGTGGGGGAGGCTGCTGTGTGTGTGGGGGAGGCTACTGTGTGTGTGGGGGAGGCTACTGTGTGTGTGTGGGGGAGGCTACTGTGTGTGTGGGGAGGCTACTGTGTGTGGGGGGGAGGCTACTGTGTGTGGGGGGGAGGCTACTGTGTGTGTGGGGGAGGCTACTGTGTGTGTGGGGGAGGCTACTGTGTGTGGGGGGGAGGCTACTGTGTGTGGGGGAGGCTACTGTGTGTGTGGGGGAGGCTACTGTGTGGGGGGAGGCTACTGTGGGACTACTGTGTGGGGAGAGGCTACCGTGGGACTACTGTGTGGGGGGAGGCTACCGTGGGACTACTGTGTGGGGGGGGGCTAGTGTGTGTGGGGGAGGCTAGTGTGTGTGGGGGAGGCTACTGTGTGTTGGGGGGTTACTGTGGGACTACTGTGTGTGAGGAGAGGCTACCGTGTGGGGGGCCACTGTGGACCTACTGTGCGTGGGGGAGGCTGCTGTGTGTGCGTGGGGGCTACTGTGGGACTGTGGGGGGGCTACTGTGGGACTACTGTGTGGGGGAGGCTACTGTATGTGTGGGGGAGGCTACTGTGTGTGTGGGGGAGGTTACTGTGTGTGTGGAGGAGGCTACTGTGTGTGGTGGGGGAGGCTACTGTGGGTGTGGGGGAGGCTACTGTGTGTGTGGGGGAGGCTACTGTGTGTGGGGGGAGGCTACTGTGGTGGAGGGGAGGCTACTGTGGGTGGAGGGGAGGCTACTGTGTGTGTGGGGGAGGCTACTGTGTGGGGGGAGGCTACTGTGGTGGGGGGGCTACTGTGGGACTACTGTGTGAGTGGGCAACTGTGTGTGGGGGAGACTACTGTGTGGGGGGCTACTGTGGGACTACTGTGTGTGGGGGAGGCTAGTGTGTGTGTGGGGGGCTACTGTGGGACTACTGTGTGTGGGGGCTACTGTGTGTGTGGGGGCTACTGTGGGACTACTGCGTGTGGGGGCTACTGTGGACTACTGTGTGGGGGAGGCTACTGTGTGTGTGGGAGGCTACTGTGTGGGGGGAGGCTACTGTGGGACTACTGTGTGTGTGTGGGAGGCTACTGTGTGGGGAGGAGTGGGGGCCCACTGTGGTCTCCTCTTGACGGGGGCCCACTGTGGTCTCCTTGACGGGGGCCCACTGTGGTCTCCTCTTGACGGGGGCCCACTGTGGTCTCCTCTTGACGGGGGCCCACTGTGGTCTCCTCTTGACGGGGGCCCACTGTGGTCTCCTCTTGACGGGGGCCCACTGTGGTCTCCTCTTGACGGGGGCCCACTGTGGTCTCCTCTTGACGGGGGCCCACTGTGGTCTCCTCTTGACGGGGGCCCACTGTGGTCTCCTCTTGACGGGGGCCCACTGTGGTCTCCTCTCCTTGATGGGGGCCCACTGTGGTCCTCCTCTTGACGGGGCCCACTGTGGTCTCCTCCTCTTGACGGCGGTCCCACTGTGGTCTCCTCTCCTCCTTGATGGGGGCCCACTGTGGTCTCCTTGACGGGGGCCCACTGTGGTCTCCTCTTGACGGGGGCCCACTGTGGTCTCCTCTCCTCCTTGATGGGGCCCACTGTGGTCTCCTCCTCTTGACGGGGGCCCACTGTGGTCTCCTCTCCTCCTTGATGGGGGCCCATTGTGGTCTCCTCCTCTTGACGGGGGCCCACTGTGGTCTCCTCCTCTTGACGGGGGCCGACTGTGGTCTCCTCCTCTTGACGGGGGCCCACTGTGGTCTCCTCTCCTCCTTGATGGGGGCCCACTGTGGTCTCCTCCTCTTGACGGGGGCCCCACTGTGGTCTCCTCCTCTTGACGGGGGGCCCCACCGTGGTCTCCTCCTTGACGGGGGGCCCCACCGTGGTCTCCTCCTTGACGGGGGGCCCCACCGTGGTCTCCTCCTCCTTGACGGGGGGCCCACTGTGGTCTCCTCCTCCTTGACGGGGGCCCCCACCGTGGTCTCCTCCTTCTTGACGGGGGCCCCACTGTGGTCTCCTCGTGGTGGACCAAGATGGCGGCGGCCGCAGCAACAGCAAACAAGTACTAGAGCCAACAGCACAGTTACGAAACTCTGTGAACCCGTGTGAGCAACACTGCGAGGGGCCTCAGATGTCGAGAGGCGAAGTCTGTGATTAGATTATTTTTAACTTTGGCGGATAATATAGGATCTGCATATCTGGAGGACGGCAGAGTAGAGATGGCAGCCTTCCCCGAAGATTTTGGAATTTGCATTGAGGAGTATAAGGGGCTGGTGGCGGCGGTGAGAGGGGGGAATATTATAGGAGAAATTACCAACTGGCAGCCGACGGGTTTTGCGCCAGAGAGGAGGTACGTGCGGGTTGGGAGCCCGGGTGCTCCTGCCTTTGTTGAAGGGACATTTATATAAAATTTCACCATTATGCATCTTTCTTTCTACTTTTTTATATATATATGTGACCACAATCTCTGTGTGTTTCCACCTTGGAGACCAGGTCTGTGTGTTTTTTTCTGATTTTTGTTGTTTTTTATTTTTTCACATTTATCCAGTCCTAACTTGGCTTTTTTTTCCCAGGAGTGGCGGACCATATTTGGGGCAAACAAATTTTTTTTTATATAACAGAAGCTTGTATCCCAGCCCTCATATCCCAGACCTCGTGTCCCAGCTCCCAGACCTCGTGTCCCAGCACCCAGACCTCGTGTCCCAGCACCCAGACCTCGTGTCCCAGCTCCCAGACCTCGTGTCCCAGCTCCCAGACCTCGTGTCCCAGCTCCCAGACCTCGTGTCCCAGCTCCCAGACCTCGTGTCCCAGCTCCCAGACCTCGTGTCCCAGCTCCCAGACCTCGTGTCCCAGCACCCAGACCTCGTGTCCCAGCTCCCAGACCTCGTGTCCCAGCTCCCAGACCTCGTGTCCCAGCTCCCAGACCTCGTGTCCCAGCTCCCAGACCTCGTGTCCCAGACCTCGTGTCCCAGACCTGTTGTCCCAGACCTCTTGTCCCAGACCTCGTGTCCCAGACCTCGTGTC